AATATATATATATATATATATCTATATATATATATATATATATATATATCTCACTATATAAAATACAACATGGATAATAAAAACATGAACATAGATCAATTCTTGTCTGGATTACAACTTTTTATTATTTCTCGTTATTTTGCCACTGCGATGTTGATGTATTATGTATTGATTCTTTGTGTTTTTTTTCTTTATCACTTTCGTGTAAAAGCATTTTTGAACTGCCTTTGTTACTGAAATGTGCTGTACAAACTTGACTTAATGATATAAAAATATTTCAGGAGTAAGAAAAGAGAAAAAAACACACACACACCTGTAACAGATTTTTTTTTTCTCATTTAAGATAATTATATTTTCAATTTTCAGCACATGGCTACAGTAACATATATGAGAGAAGGTTTATCTTTGATTGATGTTTCTCATCCTCATTTTACCAGGGCTGGCGGTAAAGGCTTAAATATCTTCATGACGAGTTAAAATGGCAACAAGTTAGCAAAGTGAACTCTGTCTCTCAGGAAAGGTGCTAAATGAAAGTATTGTGATGTTGAATAAAAATAAAACAAACAAGATCATAAAAAAATAGACATCTAGTATTCAGTTTGATTTGACAACTTTACCACACAGCATGGCATACCGAGTACTGAGCTCCAATCTTACAGTTATATACTGAACTTTAACTATTGTTCAGTTTGCTCAGATGCAGTTCCTCTCATAAACACTAGTTGCCGCTGTGATAATGTGATGTAAAGTGATGGGAGTAACTGTTCTAACTGTTGCACCGGAGCAGCTGAAGAGAAGAGGAGCAGCAGTGCAGCTAGCTCCGCCTTCATTTCACTTTGTCCATGTCGATGGCTGTGATTGCCTCCTCCTCTGGAACACCGACGCCCCCTGACGACTGACAGCATAAATGCTGGTGATCCTTCCAGTCCTGCATAGACCAAAAAATAGAAGGCTTCTATAGAACACAGTACTTATAAATAGTTATTATTAGTGCCACACCACAATATGGCCACCATTTTAGTCTTCGGTTTGACTCCTTGACTCCTATTCAACATATTTTTACTCAAGTAAAAGTAAAAAGTAGCCATCCAAAAAATGACTCAAGTAACAGCAAAAAAGTATTTGGTAAAAAGGCGACTCTAGTACTGAATAACTGATTAAATTATCAATCATTTAATATTTAAAAAATAAAGTTATGTGGGAGTTTTGGTATTTTAAAGACCAAAGTTATTCATATAAATAACATAATTACAAACAAAATCAGGCCAAAAAAAAAAAAAACATTTTTCCAAATCAGTTTCTTTCAAAATAAAACTTATTGAAACTTTAACAAAAACTGCAGATGTGTGTCTGAGTCTGGTGAATTTTTGGTTAAAACATGTTTGTTCACCATTCAGTGAAGTTACTGACACTGGGTAGAGAATACAGACATTTTACTCAAGTAAGAGTAGAGATACCTAATAATAAAATTACCGTACTTAAGTAAAAGTAAAAAGTACACCATAGTAAAAATACTCCTAAAAGTACTTTTTTTCCAAAAACGTTACTCAAATAAATGTAACTAGTTACTCTGTTGCCAGGGATATGAATAATTTGGATATAACTTATTAGTAACTTTCTACCATTATTCAGGTTGCTTCAGATTACTTTGCCTTTGATAAATTAAATTATTTGATTACCTTTATCTAAAGCTAAAATTAGCATGATGTTCTGAAACATTTTAGTGAAAAAAGCAAAAAACATCTAATAAATGAAAGGGAGTATCTGCCTTCGCGGCTCTGTAGGAAGTATGGAGACCCACCTTCCTCTGGCAGAATGTGGAGCAGTAATTGACTTTGTGACATCCTGTACACTCGCTCATCGCCATCCGGCCACAGTTCACACACATCTCCTGCAGAAGAAGAACACAACACTTTAGGCTATTGAGGGAACCACGGAGCAAGCGCCGCTGACATTGTGGAAACTGGTTTGTCGTACATTGATGATGATCTCTGTGATGTCAGAGCTCCTTTTGGTCTCTGAGTCATCTGGCTGCTGAAACGAGATCTGGTTCTGGAAAGGCTGACCCAGTCCACACTGCACACCAAAACACATTATCTTCATCATCTTCGCTATCCACTCTTTTCTAAATGCTATAAAGTGTCTTACATGTATCCATAACTTTTGAATCTTATGTCACAATAAAACTACAAAATTTAAAAATTTTAAGTTATTTGTAATAACAAAGTAGTGCAAATTTCTAGGGTTGCAGCTAGCGATTATTTTAGTAAATAATTGCTAAAGTAAATGTAAAAAAAATTGGCATATTCTGATTTTGTCATTTAACCATTTCAGATGATTTTCTGCAAGAATATATGAAAATGCAAATAAACAAATAAAGCAATTCCTTTTTTAAAAATTAAAATAAACATTTTATTGCCTAAAATGAAACATAGCATTCCTTTAGTGTAAGCTAAAGGAAGCATCTGCATTTTTTAGCATCTGCAGCTAAAAAATACATCTACATGACCTTTCTATTCAGCTTTACGTCAATACAGCAGAGGGCTGCTCTGGTGAATATTTTTTAGGATAAGCAGTTAATAATTCCATGAAAAGGTTCCTAATAACATATTCTGTTTTACAGAATTTGAAGCAGGTGAAGCTAAAACTTCACCTGGGTTAGGGTTAAATATAATCTATTCACAACATGAGGAGTTGTGAATAGATTATATTTACAGACAAAGAGGATTTTTTTTTTTATCTTAAATGCAAAATGTATACATATTTTATACAATTACAGCTGTTCTTTCAGCAGTCTGGATGATTTAGAGCTTGTATACTTCATTTAACAATTAATTGAGTAGATAATTATTTCAATAAGTGATTAATCATGATTAATCTTATTAATAGTTTCAGCTCTACACATTTTTGTAAAGTGGGCTGAAAATAATTAATGGCTTATGACTTTTTATTAACAAAAAGCAAAAAGTTCTTAAATTAGATGTAGGTCTGAACATTGATTACTTTCTAACTCATGTAGACTCTGATCTTATTTAGGAAGTTTCTATTTACTAACCTGAAGGTTGCTGGTTGTACTAAACCAAATCAAAGGGACTATATGATCGCACACTGTGGATTTTCATTTGTAAAAGAAAATTAAAACATAATTTAAATTAAAGTATCATTTTCCTTCTCCTTCAAAGTTATGGGATCTGGTCTAAACAGTTTGAACTTTTCTATCTGATTCTTAAGAGTTTCTGGTTGCGAGTTGATCTCACCTCCTTCCTGCCCCCATGGCCTTTGACCCCTGCGGGCTCCCCAGCAGCATTTTTGGCCTGTTCTATCAGGGCCTTCAGCTGCTGCACATTGCTCATCAGTGTGTTTGCCAGTTCCTCCAGGTACACCCAGGTGTTCTTCTCTCCTTCATTCACGGCCGAACACGCATCCCCTACAGGCGCCACTTCCAGCCCCGCCACCAGCGTTGCCGACGGTGACGATGCCGCGGAGGCCACTGCTACTTTGGCTTGGATGGGCTGAGGAGCAACAGCCAGAGCCGGCAGCGCTGTCAGCACTGGAAGAAAGTCACAGGCAGGCTGACATCAGTACTTTAACTAGAAAGCTGTACTTTAACTAGACCAGCTTGTTTAAAAAACAGAATTAGACTCTGTATTAGCATGTTCATCATATTAGGTGGTTTCTTGTATTGTATAAATTCTCAAACAGCAAAAAAGTGACAACTAGTTATTTTCATAGTACTCTGAAAATAACGCCTGACACTTATTGCCTCCGTTTGGAAAAGAACAGACCAGGTGAAGTTAGTGTCTCAGTGACAGAGCGTACCTGTGGTGCTGGCGAACACGTCACCCTGTGCTGACCCGTCTGAGATGATGGCGGCTGAGGCAGCGTCGCTTGTTGGCGTACGGTCAAAGGTCAATGTGCTGGAGGCAGCAAACTGCCCCGACGGGGACACTGTGACTGTCAGAGAGAGAAAATAGCAGGATTGACCAATCATACGATACTTTCTGGTAACCAAGCAAGAAAATAAAAGGTCTATCCTGAATGTGAAGACCAGACTGAGGCTTAAAGAATACAACTTTTTTTTTTTTCCTTGTAGCGCTGGTAGAGGGAAGTTTTTTTTTTTTTTTGTTCTTGTGGAGTATGTTTAGATCTTCACTGTTCTTTAAAGGAACGTTAAATTGACTAAAAAAAGTGAACCCCAATGAGCATTTCTGGGTTGTTAATGTGATCAGACTGCAAAGCATCTACTATGTGCTGCAAGTACTAAAGGTAAACCAACTATAAGACAATAATTCATACTGAAATATTGCAACATTTTCACGAACACAAGCACAAATTTAACCCCGTTTTTGATATTCTGGAGCCATCTTGTATATGTTTAACGATGTTTCACATACAAACATAAAATACAACAACTTGGTGTTTTAGCTGCATGTGAGCATATGTTTTCCATGCTCCTTCAACCTTCTTTCGGGGGAGAGGGGGATGGGGGAGGCGCCGATTTATGTTTTCGCATCTACCTGAATAATGTGTAGTTGCGCCACTGGTGGTGGATAAACAATAGAGGAAAGCCGTTGTGGTGGATGTAGCAATACCAAGTGACCACAACATCAGGAAAAAGGAGAAACTGGAGAAATACCAGAGCCTCAGAGAGAAACTGGAGAAGGCCTGGAAGGTGAAGACCACAGTGGTGCCTGTGGTCATCGGGGCCCTCGGGGCAGTCACCCCCAAACTGCAGCAGTGGCTCAAACAGATCCCAGGAACAACATCAGACATCTCAGTCCAGAAATGTGCAGTTCTAGGTACAGCCTACTGAGCAGAACCCTCAGGTAGATATATATATATATATATATATATATATATATATATATATATATATTCTATCTATCCATCCATACATCTATCCATCTATCTATCCATCCCAGTATGTAGGTGAAGTTTCT